TTATTTGTGTACTTGGATCCCTAGAGTGTGTTGAACGTTCATTTAAAGGCTTGGAGCTTAGTGCTTATTGTTTTTATTGTTTTGTTGAGGGGGGTCTATTGTATGGGATAGGCAGGAGCCCGAAAGAGCTCTTAAGCAATAGGCCTGCCTCATCGTCAGTGTAGAACTTAGTATCCTACAATTGAAGCATACCTCACCACCCAGTCCCGCTAGTTGTTCTGGCCCATGCAGTACCGGCTCATCACAAAGGCCAAACAGAGTGTGGGAAGATGTGGCTTCATGCGAGGTTCTACTCTTACAGCCTCTACGCCAAGAAGTCCACGCACGAAACATCCGGAAGCATCAAACTGGCTTGGTGTCAAGGAACTCAAGTTCACTTACCATAGTATTTCACATGTGTAGAGACATGTACTGTAGATAGCATGGTGTCCCTGTAAATGATTGTCACTTGATACAGATTGTTAAAATCGGGATACATCGCCTAGAGAGGCCGAGCTTCCATTTCATTTTCATGATACCTGAGCAGTCTACCTTGACCCAGCAACGCTGCGTGCAGCCCTGGGCTCAAAGCTTTTATCGCAAAGCTCGATGCTGGGAACGGATAATGTTGGCGATGCGCCTTCGCGCATCGCAGGAGTTTTTGAAGGGATCAAAGATGTAATGGTAGCCTGCTCGCGGAAGCAGGAGGAGCAAGGGAGTGCAATTGCTGAGCTGCAGAAGGCCGCGGACGCGCAGGATAAAAAGTTGGCGGTGTTGCGCCAGAAGGTCAGGGAGCTCAAGGCTCGCCTGGGCAGTGGAGCAGCCCCAAAGCTGGCAAGAGGAAAGAGAACAACAGCACTGGCAGTGTCGGATAAGAGGCAGCTGCGCGGAGCAGCGCCATGTGCCAGCGCACCCAAGGTTCCACTGCCAACGGTGCACGAAGAGATTGACCCGATTGGTGGAGCAAAGACCAAGACGGTTTATTCCAATGGGAAACTCACATTCCCACGGGAGCTTCTCCTGAAATCCCTGGATCTGCCGCCCGATACAATCGATGCACGGATGGAACCGTGCCTGCAAGAGCTTGCGGAGGAGCTTGGGCGGCCCAGAACCAAGCCAGCACCGGCGCCAACCCGCTACAGCAATCAGGGTGCCAGGCGCCAGAATACACAAAGCAGCAGCAGTGGCCGCTGGGTTTCACAGTCAGGGCATTGGAATGAGAGTTGGAAGTCAGATTCCAATTCCCATGGTGCCTGGAAGGCAACCAATTGGACGCCTGACGGGCAGGGCGCCTGGAATTGGTGATAGCAGATAGCACGATACTACAGACCGCATTCTCCATGTTGAAGAGCAAAGGCCCCTGCTGTGCGCATAGTTCGAAGCAGTCGCACGTGATTTCAAGGACGGAAAAAGGATGTGCAAGCATGAGATTGTGATTTTGGGGTTGCGGGATGTTGCGGGTACCTGGGCCTAGAATGGCTGGGTGCTTTGAAAATCATTGCTTGCCAGACTTGGTAGATGAGATGAGAACAGCCTTGACATGTCCAGACTTCTGACAACTTCTATTGGACTGATGCATGCGAGGTGCGAGCGCACTCACAGTTTAGAGGCACATATCCCAAGATTAATACCTGGACCCCTAAAGTATGTAGAGTTATGGCCTTTTGGGCTGTTTTTGGTGGTTTAGGGCTATTATTTTACATGCTTTTGGGGTTTAGGTAGGTCTAACCCATACCACTTTAAGTAATCCGGGCCACATGAATGAACGCCCCTATTGAGGTTGAGACACATCAAGAGTCGGGCTCAGCAGTTTTTCGGCCTGGTCTACTACCAGAACCTTGGCAGGCAAATGAGCTATAGTCTAAACTCCTTAAAGGGGGGGCTATATAATATATGGGTTTATATAGGAGATTTTATAGGCTCAAATACTCTGAGCAGGGTTCCCCGCTGAGCTCTTTTTCCACGCTTTTGGAATCCTTAGTTCCTTGCGATACTGGAATCAGGGTGCCCTTGTTAGTGCTAGGTTCTGGTGATCTTGCAATGCCTTAGCTTTGTGCCTTTAGCTCGCTGGCCCCATCCTTCAATCCATCAAGCCACTGCGAAAATCCCGAGGCGGGTTTATGGTTCCTAAAATGTCCAGGTTTCCTGATGCCATCCGTGCCAGGAGGTTGGTTCTTGACATGTACTATATTCTAAACTCCTTACAGGGGGCTATAGAAGGGATTATATAGGGCAGCATAGTAGGAGCTATAAAGGGGGATACCTAGAGTTTAGACTGTAGCTCACATGATAGCAACACACTATCAGGGAATAGGGAAATGCAGATTTTCTCAACTTCAAAGGGTGTAGCATGGGAACCCTAGTTCTAGACATGCTTCCGTGTAAAGCGTATCTGAGCCCAGTAAAGCCAGCTTTTCACCCATCAGCGAGGGGCCCTGCTTTTGCTCTCATAAACCCTATACGCCCTACACCGACCACGACCTTTCAGCTTAAGCCATGAATCCTACAATGCTAAATGCGTCTATAACCCTACGATCCTAACTGCTGCGGCCTGTAGCGTCGATGCTCTGGGAGCCCATTGCGGACGTGCAGAGTCCGATTCTCAAAGACCACTGCTGCAAGACAAGCCGACAGGCTCATCTCTTCACCACATGGAGGTTTCCCAAAATTAGGAG